AAGTATTTGTAAGTATACTGCACTTATCACTCCAACTGCCTTGTCACATTTCACAGGAATAAGCTATGTGAATCTTAATAATTTAGTATTCAAAAACTATGTAATAACATTTTACTTTGTATCTTTTCTATTTGCAGCAGTTCTATCACTTCATGCACATTTGTTTAAGGCTGCTGAAACACTTGGACTTATTTTATGTAATATAAATCAACTACAGCCCACTGAGAACTGCAAGTTGACAGTCATGACATTCTAACAAAGACAGTGACAGCATTCAGCCTTTTCCAGTTGCGATTCTCTCACAGGTGAGAGATCAGCACACCCCACTCCTGTCCTGATAGATAAAACAAGCTCTAAATGAGAAAAAGAGGCAGTAACCCATATTTCCTCCTTCTCTTCAAGGTAGTATTTAACTCTGTATTGCTTTTTCAGTTCTTTTAATTTCTGAAGGTGTTAATCCTGCTGCACACTGAGGCTTCTGAGCTACTGCATCTTATCACCTCTAAATAATGAAGGTCATTAACAGAAGTATTATCCAATCTCCTTTAGATAAAAAAAAAAAGACGAGTGAAAATTCACTGATTTCTATTACAAAGGTTCACTAGAACAAGCAAAACTGAATAGCCACATTATTAAAAGATTATAAATGCAAGCTCACACATGGTGGACATCGGTCCTTCATCTCACTGAAAGCTCATATCTTAGAAATGTGGTGTTCCACGTCAATGAACCTCTGTGTGAGACTCAATGGCAGTTTTGTGATGCAGACAAATAGCTATTTGAAACTGGTTTGAGACAGCCAATGTTTTTAACCTGAGGCAATCTTGTATTGTAGTGATAGAAGTAAGGCTATTAATGAACTCAACAATATTTAACTATTCGTGTTGAGCCTCCCACTGGTCAAACTTCAGAAGTCTAACACTGTACTGCTCAGGGCAAGAAAATGAAATAGGAACTATTTTCATCAGGAAAAAGGCTGAAGTTCTTCCTATTTAGAAGGCAAAATCAGGGCAAATTTTAAAAGCAGCCTCAAATGCATATTTTTGCATCTCAGTCTCTTCCTGTCTTTCAAGAACAGAAAAATTCACATTCTTTGCTGTTTTCTACATTATGATGAGTAGAAAATTACAAAATTGTTCTAGTCTTTATAGTCCAGATGTCTCCAAGTTCTAGCTCAAGATTCAGCAAGAACAAAGATGTGATCAATGCTTGCAGTAGCAAATTCAGGCACAACTTCCATCTTAGAGGAAAAGCAGAAACTGACAGATCTTTCAATCAATGCAGGCAAGTAACACCTTCAGTCATCTGAAAACTTACTGAGCACAGTTACATCACATGTCTGCATCTGCATTAAGAAAAGAAGTGCAAATGATAATAAGTGTACTGTACAGAAATTCACCTTTTCTTGGCAGTTACAGTATGGATCATAACTCTAAAGTGAAACTCCTCTCTCTCCTCTCCAGTTCTTAACAGTACATTTACTAGAGCACTATGGTAATGGAAGTCTGTAAGGAGATAGCACAGAGGCAAAAAATGAACATGAACAGATAGGCAGGAAATTCTCTATTTTAGTTCAGTGTTGTCCTGGAGCCCAGCAGTACCTGCTCGGCTGCCTTTCTGCCCTTGTACTGCAACCATGCAAACACCTGGAAGAGGACAGGAGAGAACAGGAGAACTGGCCTATTTACTGCCACTCCAACCACTTAGCAACACAGTTAACTTCAAGGTCTCTTCAGACGCTCAGAAACTACAATCCTTCCTCCAAGCCCACAGGATGCAACTGTGGCAGCACAGTCACCACGGAAAGTTCAGCTGCACTTCACCATCAGTACCACAAGCCCGTTTCACAGCTAATTCCTTCTTAATCATGTTTGTCTCTAAAAAGTCTATTTTACACCTCATACTGAAACTGAAGGACTAGTTTTCCTAGCTAATTGCTTCCAACTCTCAACAGTAACTGAAGCTGGTGCTATTAATCCTGCTTAACAAATGGAGAGCAGGTCAAGAAAGAAGGCACAAGCCTAAAACAAGTCTGAAATCAATTACTTTTCAGTCTTGTGCATTGTCTTTTGGACAAAGCTTTAGATCTCTTGCTATTTGAAATTCCAACTAGAAACAGACATGTTTAATAGTGTTGTTTCATACACCAGGAAAGAAATGCATTTCAATCTGCTTCCTGTGTCTATTACCCACCCTCCTGTGCTTGTGAACGCCAGCTAAGTATAGCAACTTATTAGGCTGGAGTCACAATACCATTAGAGGTCTGGATCAGTAATTCACCAAGCAGGAAACAAAACATCTCTTGTTGAAATAACTGCAGCTATAATTGAAGAATTTTTTAAAGAACAGTTTAAAAAAGAAGTCATTCAGTAGCCATACAAACCTCATTGTGTGCATCCATTTTAGAAGCCACAAAATAGGTTGCACTCAAATCAACCAAAACCTCTGGCTGACATAACTATTTTAAATCAGCTGAGCTTTGACACTGGAGTAACAAAGTATCAAAGGCCATCCTGATCATAATTAGTAGTTACAAAATGAATTTTTTCTCTTTATATTGAAATTGGACAGTTTCAATACAAACATTGCTTGCCATTGTTCTAAACAAAGCAGACCAAGCAGCTGCAAAAACGCTCCAACAAGGAAAAACCAAGTCAGGTCATCACCAAAGAAGAAGCAAGCAATATTACAAGAGACTTGACACCTGTAAAAAGGGCAGCTTATTGTAATCAAAAAACTTAATAATACTGAGAAAGCACAACGAGCCAGGAGACGTATATAAGGCACTACTATCCTGCTACTGCAATACTCAAAGGTTACAATAGGGGTGAGGGGATAGACAGAAGTCTCTATACTTTTGGAAAAGAACTTAAAATATTAACACCACAAAGGAAATGGCTAACCTGAAAAGATTATAATATTATAAAATCCTTGAAACAAGTACATAAGCATTAACCCACTCCAGGTCTTGGAAACTGCAAAAGGAAAAACAAGCAGAGATCAGCATGGAATCCTTGGCAGAAGTTGGTCTGATACTAAAGCACTTAAAAATTCAACCAAACTCTACACACAGTAATAGGTAAAGCTTTGACAGATGTCTGACCAAATGTACGCAAATCTCAGAATCAAACAATTTCTGTTGTAATGCAGGGGAAAGCCCTTGCTTTTCAGTCTTGTGTATTGCTCTAAGGTGGTTGGTGAAAAGCAGCTGAGGCAACAGGACGTCATAGCACTGCTCTCCTTGCTTTGGAAGGCTTCTCAACTTGCCAGATGAAGAAAGAGCAGCAATGTACAGAAATCAGTGCACTCAGAACTTATCCCACTTCACAAGACACAAGGCAGAGCACGTCCACTTCCTTCCACACAGATGTGTATCTTCATGTATCTTCACTGACCTTTGCCAAAGGAGTAAAAGGGTCAATGTTCAGAGCCACTCCTGACTCAAACAGCTTTCACTGACTGTTTAATTGTTTGTGCTGTGCTTGAGATTCATTGGGGCTTAACAGGCTTGTACATGCTGCTGAAAGAGAAGAGTTAAACAACAAATCTGTACACAGATGTGTTTTAGCCAAAGTAATACAACGGCTTTGTCTATCAGATGAAACCAAAATTTCAGGTCACTTAGGAATTTGGGAAGACTGTTTCACCTTGTTCCATCTCCATGGTCTTTGAACCTCTTTCAGTGCATCTATTTACTTTATGCAGACACATTTAGCAACTTCTAGACAAGGAAAAAGGGTTGGGAGAAATCAGTTGGCCAAAGGAGAAAATAATTCCACAAATCTTGTAAGTATTTCTGTGTCACATCTTGGAAACTTGTTCAGGGACGAAGAACATATTTATGCAAAATCTGAAGTCCAGCTTCAGAAGCAAAGCAAAAAGAAAGAAACAAAAACCAGCCACCTTTGGGTCTCATTTTCCTCAACCACATCTGAATATAAAGGCTTCTACAGTTGCCAAGTTTACAGGCAATGCAGGCCACCTCCTAACAATCCTTGTCAATAAAGAAAGGCTTCCCACAAACCATCATGGAGATGAGGAGGAGAGCAAGCACAAAATCACTAGAGCTCTCTGCTTAATAAAGCATAGCAACAACTAAAATTTTGCCTCTTTAACCTTCAAAGACTGCACTATGTCATATTCTATTCTACCAGGCTTCCTGCCTTATCATTCTCATTTAACATGTGGTACTTCACACTTCCAAGGTTCACTTCTCCTCCTCTTTCCCACCTCCCCCCATCAAGAAACACAGAGAACCTAAACATGACTATGAATGCTATAACTAAGAAAAGCAAAAGATCCTTGTATTGAACTATAGAGAACCAGATTTTTTTAATATACCTTGAATTAGATGTGTTGCTAATAAAAGCATTTGAATTATCTAAGAACACATGCCAGAAAAAGTAGTGTATTAAGAAAAAGGATATTATGCAAGCAAGTGCTCCTGTAGCATGCAATGAGATGGTTGGCTTGGGAGGCTAATGAATTAGTACAAACAATTTAAATCTAATTTAATTTAACAATGTAGAGCATTTGTGCATTGCAAAGCAACAGACAGTAATCTGTTTCTTCATTAAATCAAAGATAAAATTGCTGATTATCCTTCCCTGAATTATTTTATTGAAGAGGATAGCAAACAAATTTTATATTTAGTCATAAAAGTTCACGGCTATTCCCCAAACAAGCCAATGTAACCAGTGAAGGGTACCAGTGAACATAATACAGGCCAGCTGTGGTTTAGCACAACACATTATTCAACCAAAACAGATTCTCACATTTTAACATTTTAGTTGGTGAACAAATGTTTATGCTGAGAATTAATACGGCATTTTAAGTTTACTTTTCATTTTCACAAAACATATCTAAACAGTACTATTTACTACTCACAATCTTCAGAAGTTCTAAAATTATATACTGAGAATGTTGAGCATTTGGTATTGCCAGAGGTACTAAAACTATTAACCTTCCCCTCTGTCTAACAGATAAATTTATATACTTGCCTCAAAAGTGTTACCGGTGATATCAAATTCTGGTGGAACAAAGGCACCTTCTGGATCATCTTTGAAAACAAAAGGAAACATGCCAGTTTAGAAATTAGTAGTCCTGCTTTAAAGAACCACAAACCAACTTGATGAATCAAATTTAATGATACACTCCTATCTGATACAAAAGAAACTTTGTATAGCAGTATTTTCCTTCAATCCGCTGTACAAAGAACTTGTTAACCATGTTTTTAGTGCTGGAAGTAAAATAAAGTGCTATTTTCAAACTTTCTCCAAGAAATTATCATAACTTCCCACTAAGAAACAAAACAGATTAAACACCCACAAAGAAATACATTTAACATGTCTAACCACTTCTTGCCTTCAGACATTTATGTCTGGACCCAGTTATCACCTAAGCTGGTGTGGCTCGGCTGTGGCTTAAGAGGTTTGATTTGATTAATTGGACACTTCCATTCACTGCTTTCCACTACAGACCTGGGTGATAAGGGCTCAAGAAGCAAAGTCAGTCTGAACAGCTAACGCTTCTTCATCTACAGGCCAGCTTAAAACTCTGACCTTTCTGCTTAGTTTGTTTTACTTCTGATAAAAGAGTAGAGGAAGTAAATTCCCCACATGTTCTGCTGAGCAGAGCACTGAGCTACTGCAGCAGCCAATTCTGAGTGAGGAGGTGGAAAGAAGAAAAGAACATCTTAAGAGAGACCAATGCTGTTTCTGTATCCAAGCAGGTACACAGTATCACACTGCACTTACATCACATGAACCCAGTAAAGAACATCAAGGAATTAAACAAGAGCACAACTGAAAAACCTATTCTCCACATACATATCCAACTCACCTAATCTATTCTTCTGGGAAGTCAGGATGATTGAGATGATTTACACGCAAAAAGTGTGTTTCCCTTCTCAACAAGAAGAAAAAAATAGTATGTTCAGAGGCACAGCATAATCATCATAACTTTAGCTTTACTAGAACTTTTGTGCCTGTACTCTAGAAGTAAAATGCAAAGTTTTTATTAAACCCAGTTATATAGCAGAGACTACTAAAGAGGACTTTTTTTCCACATATTCATATATTGCAGCTATGCGGCATGGCTGTCTAACCAGACACCAATAACTGATTTGCAGCTCCTTAGGACATTCCCAAATGTACTTTACCCACTGAAAAAGAGAGTTGTGCAACTAATTTTGCATTCCTTACCCACCACCACATTTTTTCCTGATTTTGGGGGTGAGCGGAAGAGGCAGAAGGGAGCTAATGGACAGATGTTTTGTTCTCTTCTCTCCCCTACCTGCAGACTACTATTCCTTTTTATCTCCCCACTACCTTTCCCCTTTCTTCCCATAGAACACTTTAAAGGCTGTACAAGTATTTAACTTTCACTGGTACAGCTCACTGTATTCTTTTACTATAATGTTTACAATGGGAATTTGTGTGAAGAGACAAGAAGGTATCAGGCCTCTTGGCAGAACATCCTATTGAATGTTTGTCACTTTAGCACTACAGAAACTGCAGGAAGCAGAGCTTGCTGCTAAAGCAGAGATGACAGGCTGTTCATTTGCTCTCACTGGAAAGCAAATCCAGAGGTTATCATTTTCTTCTGGAAGAATAAATCCATAGGCAACAAATGCAGGGAAGCAAAAAGGACAACCTCCTCAAGTGCCCACCTAACAAACTGTATTTTAACCAAACTGTAACAAAATCTGAAAGAGCCAAAGACAGTGGAGCGTGAGAGAAACAGAACATAGGCATAACTTATTTGCATTCCTATGGAAAACAAATGCAAAATCTTTTCCTTAGAGACTAACATGACTTCAGGGAAATAAATCTTGGTACATTTGCTCTGCACAGGAATTTGTTATCCCACATTTTAAGTACTTGAATACAGCATTCCTGGATCAATTGTTTGCCAGCTATTCAATTAACTAAAACATTTAAGAAGAAATTGATTTTTTTCTTTCCCAGCTAGAAGTAAAGATCTTAGCTGAGGGGCATTTTTCATCCACTAGACTTATGTTCTTCAACAAGTCTTTCATATACCCTTGGCTTATACAAAGCCAGCTTCTTTTTCTTTTTTTAATTTCAAGGTATAACAAGCTCCTTAAAATAAAGAAAATTTATTCCACATTGCCCTATTAAAATTAAACTAAAAGTTGTCTCATGTCTATTTAAGGAATTTAATGAAAAACAAATATAACAACAATTATGAAGATCTAGTTCTTTATTAATTATATTTTATGATCCTTCTATATGAAAAACTATCTTTAATTCTAAAGAGGCAACAAATCTTCATTTGTTGCAATGTTATCTTCTCATTTTTATTCTAGCATTTTTTCTAAATACCATGGTCTAGATTTTGCCAAAAAGAATAAACACTTATCCTGATAGAGAGTTAAAAATAAATTAGGTTGAAGAAATCACAACAAAAATTTGACTAGTGTCTATCTAAAGTAGAATGGTTCTCCTAGTTGAGCCAAGATAACTTTAAAAGTACCATAGAGTAGAAGCTGATTTGTTTTCTTTATTCTTCCTCTGTAAAATCATTAAGAGACTTAAGATTTATCATCTTGAGACGCATCACATGAGAAAGGAACAGCAACCATAATATGGTTTTTTGTCCAAGGTTAAAAAACCTACTTGTTTCAAGTCAAGCATCTCCCTGTTCATCTGCTATGAAACCTGAGCATCTTCCATGCTACTACATACTGTTTTTTAACATATTAAATTAATTTCTCAATCAGTCCCAATAAATGGCAAGTCTGAAAATCTTTTTTATTCAATAGAGAGCTCTAAAAAAAACCCAAGGCCTTTATTTGAGAGAACTTTCCTTTTTAATGGCAAATATGCAATAGAATTGCTCCATTTTTTATGGCCACAATCACCAAGATACATTGAATATCAGACGTCTCTAGAAACATACCCATGAAATCAGAAGATCTGTAAGAGGTGAAAGACATGCTTTACAAAGGGAGAGACTCATGCACACAGGTGCTCAATCTGTGTGTTTCCAATGGATATAAAGAAGACTTATCAACTTGGATAAGTCTTAAAATAACTAGGAGGAATGTTCTAAGCAGAACAGCCTTTGTTCATCAAGTAAAAACTGAACACAGTTTCACGTGTACAGATACACATCCTTCCCAAATAAGTTTTATTTTATCTTTATTTTAATTGTAAGTCTTAAAAACAGAATGTAATGTTTTACTGCAGTTTCTCACTATGAGTTTCTACAGCTCTAAAACAAACAGCCTGGAAACACAAATACTCACCACTGAGCTGTTCCATGAAGCATACATTGCCATTGGTGTTAAAAGCCAAAGTGTCAGGAGTGATGCAGAGTGTCTGGAAGATTGCAGAATGGGCAATGCTCTTCAAAGAATGGCAACACTCCAGGCAAATTGCCCAAATATCTTGCTCAGTAAGACAGCTATCCCGCAGTGACAAAATATCAGCAAGGGACACATTCTCCTGCCAAGATAGGAATTAATAAATTATCCTGGATTTCATGACACTACTTTCTGTATCATAGATTACATTTGACACAATTGCCTACAAGTAATGTTTCCAGCAAGTTCTCAGACTTTCTAGGACACTGATTAACACCCCAAGAAACACCAAGTGCATGACTTTGCTCTTAACACAGAGATGTTTTAAGAACCACAGTTAACTTGAACAAAGATATCACAGTATACCAACATAAAAAAATACTATGGGGGATATGTAAGTTACATAAACACCGCATCAAAGGAAAGAGACCACTTGGAGGTAAAAGCAGAGAGACTAAATGAAAACATTTTGTTTCACCAGTGCCTTTCAAGCTCTCCCAGGTGTCTTTATATAAACTACTTAAAAATTCTCTTCACAGCACTTCTCCCTACCATTTGTGATCTGGGAAAAAGTGCCCTTTAGATTAGCCTGTCTTAAGAATGATGCTATTGTGAAGTTTAGTAGTATAGACCATTTAATAAACATTGAAAAGTCAAACATACCATAGGAAAAGTGTTTTAATACTTGGACTTAAAACCAAACCCTTTGGTTATCACGGCCTCCCCGTTACCTCCAGGGACTTTAGTGATCAAAACAGCTCATGGACTTAAGTTTCTAAGTTGCTGTCCTAAACTGTACTGAACTTGCTCTGACCCTCTGTCACAGTAAGGTTACGAGTCGGGTCCCAAACAAATGTGTTTCTGATGTAGCTTTCCTGGTCAAGATGTTCAGAAACATTGCTTGACTCAAAGCAACCAAACTCTCTATGGATATTTTTGGAATACAATCCTAATACATTACCCACAGCTACAGAAGTCAAATTTTCACGAACTTCCAAGGAATGAGGGAAACAAACAAAACATCAATTTGATCTATAAAGAAAAATAAGGTAACAAAAATGGAAGGTACCTATAGAAGTTACTTTGTATTAGAGCTATAATTACTAATAATTACACAGTATTTTCTTATTTTTATGTAGTTAAAACTAAAGACCATTCTTCTCTGTGATGTTAAATATACCCTGAATGGAAGATATAGATACACATTGCTTAGCATAGAGAAAAAATGAAGTATGTCATTATCAGCAAAAGAGGATGTGAAATAACTTACAGCTCAGAAAACTGTTGTTTAAACTCTTAATCCCTTGGAGAGCAGTTATAAATTTCTTTACCTACTCCAGCACTGGAGAACATCAATGATATCTGGATTACCATATACAGAAGGGGTTAACAGTTCATTAACATGTCTTTCAGAGAATTAAGCATTGCTTTCATAATATCCTTCAAGTAAGAACCAAACCTCAGTCCAAAAGTGTACTGTGCTTTTTAGTCTAAAGTATAATGCTTAATAAATAAATATGAGGTAGGAAATAAAGCACACTTACTGGTATTTGGCAAACTTCACTTCTCTTTTCAATGGTCTTATTTTTCATAGTCACAGATTGATTTACTAATGGCAGAACTACTACAGTGCCTTCTAGCACTAATCATGGATCCTGGTCTCATCAAATTCAGTCCTACAGAATAATGAACAGCAAAAAATCTCTGCACAAAATCTTGTTTTCTCTGTACTGTGCTCAGTACAATTGTGTAATGCTGCCAACAGAGTTTGAGGTCCTGGTTTAGGGTAAATATGGGAGAGAACCTCCAAATGGGGTCCCTCCAGAAAACAGAACTCCAGCTACCCCAGGATAGTGGAGAAGGAGGTTTTGCACATCTCCATAGGGAAGCTGTTCCAAGCATGAAGAGCAGCACAGAGGTTCCTCTATCTCCAAATAAAACCACATGGCATGAAACTCTCCTACAAACATCAGGCTTTCAAACTGACCAAACTGAGAGGTGGAATGAGAATAGGCTTAGAAAGAAAAGACTCACTGCTTATTCTATGGCCAGCAAAAAGAGCTTAAAAAAATAGTTCTATTATCAAGACAATGAATGAGTAATTATTAACTCTCCTAGAACCCTTCAGCTTGGTAACATGATGGCATTTGCCACAACAGAGAAATAAAAGAATGCTTCGCTAATCAAGATGCAAAATGATGAGCTTCACCTGTGCATATGGACAAAAGAGGATCAATTTAGAATGTACATGAAAAAATTAAACCTGCATTCTTTCAGACAGCCTCAATATCACATTCCAGCCACAATAAGAACTTGAGAGAACTTTGGAGTTAAGCTTTGAGGCTGACCCCACTGCAGATAATAATCATCAGCAATGATATCTACAGCACAAATGTACAAAACATCTTTGTCCTGTGGTTATTTGGGAAGTAAACAAAAGGCAGTGATCTAATGTCAGATAAGCTTAGTTTATCTTCCTTCCCAGGGATGAGAAAGTTATGTCATACAGAAAAAGGAAAAAAAAAAAAAAAAAAAAGGAAAGTCCTCTGAATGTTCCATGGCTTCCATCAGAAGTGGATGGCAAGGTAAAGATAAAACTAACTTAAAAAAAGATAAAGCAAAATACCACCACCAAGTTGCAGGCCTTTCTATTTCCAGTGCTCCAGGGCAGTAAGTTATTTACTTCACAGAAACCACGTATTTCCCAAATGATCACACTTCCTTGACCTTAGTTATTCAAGCTGCTATTTGCAGCTAAGCAAGGCCTTTGTAGAGAAGGAAGAGAAGGAAGCATTGAAAACACCGAGACTTGCATTTGACTAGCTTGTATCACCAAAGCAACACAGACCAAAAGTTGTGTTACTGAAAAACTGCGGAAAAAAACATCCTTCTAACACTGGAACATAAGGAAGTTGCGGCAAGCTGAAGCTTCTGGTGGGCAGCTGCTTCAGTACTGTGGACCACTGGAAGTTGTTTCATTCAACTGTGGTAAACATCAGAGATGCTGATGCCTCTTTTTTTGTCTCTTTCAGTAAAAGACACTCGTGTCTGGTTTTAATTTGGAAGTGTCTGGTTTTAACACTAAGAACTACAAAAAGTAAACCTGCCAGGCAATCATGTTTAACTGTTCACTTTAGTTATCAGCTTTCCCTTGTATTTTCTTCAGCAAGTACAAAACAGTTCAGGAACATATAATTAAGCAGAGATAATTAACATAGAGTAGAAATAAAAAATTAAGTCGACACAAACCATTCCTTAAATTTTTTGAAATTGAATATTAAGGAGTATAAAATGAAGAAAGTTCTAGTAAAGAGAAAAAATTGAAACACACCCTCATCCTTAGCATTTTCTACTCTTCAGCTCAGGCAGATTCCTGCTTCACATATTGGCAAAAAAACACCTGCATCAGACACCAACGTGATTCTTTATACTTGGTAAAGCGATGAGAAGAGCAGACTCCACTAAATGACTAAGCAACTCAGAGTTCAGTACAACAGCACTCACAGCCTTCTGACACCTTTTTGCCATGATAATTCACACAACCTTCAAAGCAATCTATTCCAGAATCACAGACAATGTGGCAAATGCCATCCATTACATTCATCACATCTGAAGAAAAACACTGGATTGCCTTAGTAAGCTCCCTGAATACTCTTCAAAACAGCTCTTTTCATTAACTTATCTAATCACCAGGTGATAGGTCATGCTCATTCTCCCAAGAAAAATATGGAAACTCTTTATGTTTCTGTAATAACTAAATAGACGGGACTTGTTTGTTGACACAACCAAAGTATACACTGAGCAGGCATGAAAATTGGGCCCCGCTCTTTCTTGTATAGAAAAGTCGACCCTTAGCCTTCTCCATTCTGAGAAAATTCTCTAAGTATTTAAGTCAACATGTGAAAAATAAGGCCATTACCACCTTCCTCCTAGATTTTGCATGGACCACTCTGAGAGGGCCTTCAGCAATTGAACACTACAGACAGTGGAAGAGCCAAACTGACAATCCACTGGGTGACTTAGGAAAACTCAAAGGAGCTTTGCGTTTTCAAACTTGCACTTAACTCCCGATTCAATATGGATTCTTGACATAGTAAGTTAGAAAGTTTGCAAGATTTTGTTCAAGGAATGAGCAGCTCACATATGGCTCACCAAACCTTTACTTAAGAAAGGAAAAACTCTTCAAACATTTGGCCCCAACATTCACAAAGGGGTGAGAAACATACTTCACGTGAAAAGATACAAAGATGAGCAACAACAACAAAAAGCAATGGCAAAATCAATAATGGAGCCAGACGGATGTGATGACAAGAACTGGGTTTAGCTACAGGTTATTTGGCACAACAACTAAATCAAACAGATTTAACACTTTGATATTTTGGTTCTTATTTCCCAGTGTCAACGGCCTTTTAGCACAGGGCACCAATATACCGTTATACGAAAAAAAAGTGTTTGGCAGCTTCGGGAAACTGTTTTGCCCATGTAAAACTCCCCTGATCGGGTGCGACAAGGACACGTACTTGCCGACTGCAGCATTAACCCACGGCTACGACAGCAGTGACGAGACACCCCGCACTCGAGGACCATGACTTTGCTGTTGTGAGGCGAAGGTCCACGGGAACGGGCTAAGCCCAAGTCGGTGGCTGGTACCGCGGGGCAGAAGGCAGCGAGGAGCGGCCGGAGCACACACGGAAAGCGAGCGGTGCTGGGGCCGCGGGAACTCTGGGGAGCTGCCAAAGGATTCCAGGAGATCCTGGGGAATGCGGGGGCCGTGCCAGGGGACGCCGAGGTGATGCGGGGCGGATGCCAGGGATGCTGGAGCGGCGGCTGGGGCCGTGTCACGGGACCCGAGGGGATGCCAGGTGACGCTGGGCGTGCCAGAGGGATCCCGGGGGGACGCCAGGTGATGCCGAGGCCATGCCGAGAGATGTTGAAGGATGCCGGCGAGATGCCTGGGCCACGCCCAGGGATGCTGGGGTGAAGTCAG